CCATGGATCAGGGCTGGAGAGATGGCTCAGTGGTTAAGAACACTAGCTACTCTTGCAGAGGACCTGGGTTCATATCCCAGCACCCACCACATCGCAGCTAACAGCTATCCATAACTCAGTTTCAGGGGATCTGACACTCGCTTCTGATCTCCATGGGCATTGCATGACACAGGTGCACTTACACGTATGCAGCCAATACATTCATACACATAAAAATAAAAAGAATAAAGAAAATACATTTTTTAAAATAATGAATCATTTTTACTGCTATAGAAGTTAATATTAATAATTAAAAATAAGCCTTCACTAGATGTTCTGAAGCCTCATGCCCTAGAGTTAAATATCAACATCCAAACAGTGATGGTTTGAGGATTAACATTCTGTGTTGAAGGCCAACAAGATGGCTCAGTGGGCAGACACTTACCTTCCCCAACCTGACCACCTGTGTTTGATTCTCAGAACCCAAGTAAAGATGGAGAGAGAAGCAACTCCACAAAGTCCTCTGATCTCCACACATGGAAAGTCCTCTGATCTCCACGCATGTGCAATGACCTCATGTGCCCCTCCCATACACATCATAAACACACACATACACACACACACACACTAATAAATGAAATAACACTTATAAAAAGATTCTATGTTGAGAACAGCTGAGGAAAGGAGAGCAGAAGTGTGACTGGTTATTACATCAATAACATGGGCAAAATGTGATGGTGGCTTGAACTCTGGTGGTAGCAATGTAGGTAGTATGACAACATTGCCCAGAATCATTTTTAAGTCAAAGCCAACAGAATCCACTGATGATTGGATGTTAGGTCCCAGAGAAACAGGGGCCTCTGAAATGATACCAAGGTTTTTGGGCTAACTGAGATGGGAATGATTTAGAAGTAGCAATTTGGACATTTTTGATGCATAAAATTTGAAATATTTCCTAGGTATCCAAGGGGACTTTGGAGGTAACAGTTGAAAATATGACTTTGGGAGCCAGATATCGCAGGCTCTTGTTTTGTCATCTTTCTTGTTAACTAAGAAACAAACAGGGCCTGGAAAGATGGACCAGTGGTTAAGAGCAATTGCTGCTCTTGCAGAGGACCTGGGTTCATTTCTCAGCACCAAAGCATGGCTTATAAGCATGTGGAACTCCAGTTCCAAGGGATCCGACTCCCTTTTCTGTTTTCTCAGACACTAGGTCCACAGATGGTACAAGACAATCATACACATTACAAAAAGGAACAAATAACAATGGAAACCCATTGTTCCAATAAAGCCCCTGAGCAAATTAAAACACAAACAAACTCATTTTAAGACTTCTCTCCAAAGTTATATAAGCAATAGCAATTAAGTGCCAGGGCAAGGAGTCTGGTAGGGAGCTCCAGGGATGCAGCTGTCATGAGTCCTCACCCATGTTGAGTGGATGATGCATCTGCAGGGTTGTCAGCCTGCTCCTGTGAGTAACACCAATAAACTCACTGGCTCACTAAACTTTAACCAAAAACACCAGACAATCAAAAACTCTTGTTTAAAAAAAATTCTTGTGTAGGATCTAATCCAGCACCACATACGTAGCATCACACTCTTTAAGAAAAGCAACTCTTCTTCCAGCAGTTATCAGTTACCAACAGTTTCTCAGCTAAGGTTGGGGCTTCTCACCCACTTCCCCACTTCTATCCTGAGATTTTGTCTGACTTGAGCTTACATGGACATTTTGTATACTGTCACTATTGCTGTGAGTTTATATGAGTAATTTCCAAGCTGTCTGAAAAACTGCTTTCTTGTGATCATCAACCACCCCTGGCTCTTGTCTGTGAGGGGTCTAACCCTAAGTGACACATCTACAATGTAACCTTTACACCTAAAGCTCACGGAACATAGTAGAATGGGGAGGGGAGCTGGCTAAACTCTACATGGGAGAGATGACAGATAGCACTTTCCAGGCAATCAGAGTGAATGTGGGGCTGCTGACACTGCCTCCTGGTGCTTGGCCCTAAATAGGACACACCTATAGCAAACCTCTGCCACCCTGGCTCTGGGACCACTGTGATGATTTATAAACTTTTTGACACCTCAGAGCCATCACCCATACTGGGTGAACACCTTCCACTGTGGCTACTTTAGTATTACCCACACTCTGGTTTGTAACTCTTCAACCATATTTTGTAAGTAAGACTAATAGACTCATTGGTTGCTTAGGGTGTACTTCAGTGGAACTGAGCTTAGGTTTGTCATTGGGACCTTATGAAGCGGCAGTAGACTTTGTTTACATCTTCTTAGGAGAGGAATTCTCACACCAATAGCATGTCAGTTTCATGGATGCTAAGAGAAAATACATTTCTGAGTCAGAATCAAAAGGCATTATTTTCACAGCACAGTAAGTGGCATGAGAATTCAGATATGAGCACTGGTTGCCTAGGCACTACACCTCACAGTGGTGTGACTATGTGTATACATTGCAGACGAGGACCTCAGGGAGAATGCCCAGGACTTTGGGGTCCAGTCTCTTCCTCGCTAGGAAGCACATAGTGATTGGCGGTGATACTTTATTCAGCCTTGCCTACTCAGGTACCTTCATGGTTAGTTACAGAAACTGCTTTCTATTAGGGGATGGATATGCCATACAGTCTGGCACACTCAGCAAGAACATGCTGGGGTGTTCACTGTCCATATTGGACTCTGTCTCTTGGTGGTATCCTCCAAATATAGAGGCATAGAAGCAAGTAAAATAAAGTTAGTCTTAGACCTATCCACAGTAACATGTACTGTTAGTGGTTAGGAAGCAGAATTAAAACTTTTCTCTAAAAAAGAGATTTTGTATATAACTTGGTGAAAGTTCATGCACTAAAGTGATGAGCAGAACTTCATAGACTTTAAAGAGAGCTAGGACCACCTCGGCAACAAATCCTAGGTGGACAAGGGAAATCTTAACTGTGGAATCCAACCACAGATGAAAACCCTGCAGCATGTAACATGAATCTAACATTCGTTGTCTTTAATTGTGAAATAGTCCTATAGAGGGCTTAGAAAAAGGAAATGTGACTCAATAATATGCCACTCGAGTTGTCCTAAGAGTATAATAACAATAAATGAATCTCCCAAGCATTCACAAACTGAGGAAGTGATTCACTGAAGGGTTTTTCTGGAAGAAAAACAAATGGACATTAAACCAGCCAACCAAGCAACAGGATCAAATGAAGATAGTTCATGCTCCAATAAGCTAATACAGGCTGAACATCCCTAATTCAAAATACATGATGCCCTACATCCAGACAGTCTGTGCATTCTGTGTGTGCCTGTGCATGTTCATATGTGTGCAGATACATGTGTCAGTGTATGTATGTATGCACACATATATGCACATGCATACGGAGGCCACAGGACAGCTTTGAGCGTAATTCCTCAGATGCTAAAGGGTCTCTCCCTGGCCTGGAGCTTACCTAGTTGTCTAGACTATCTGGTAAGTGGGCCCCAGTGGTCCTCCTGTCTCCACCTCCCCAGTAGCAGTATCACAAGTACCACATGCCTCCATACTTAGCTTTTTATGTGGGTTCTGGGGATTGAACTCGGGTCTTCATGCTTGCAAGACAAATACTTTACCAACTGAGTCATCTTCTCAAACCCAAAGTCCAAAACATTTTGATCCAAAGTCTGAAAAGCTGATCCCAGGCATTTCATGTGAGGGGAGCCTCTACTGCCTAGTGTGATACTTTTCTTCAACACCAACAGTGCTTTCAAACCCATGTTCATTATGGTTTAGCTCTTCAATGCTCTCCAAAGGCCCACATGTAAGAGGCCTTTTCCAATATATGGTGCTCTGAAGCCTTTAGGAGGTGGAGCCCAATGAAAGGGAGTTAGGTCATTGGGGGTGGAGCCCTGAAGAGAATGTTGGGACTCTGCCTATCTTTTCCCATTCTGCTTCCTGGCCACCAGGAGCTCAGCAGCTTGACTCTACCACATGCTACTCACCATGACATACCACCTCAACACAGGCCCCAAACAGTGGAATGAATGGATGGACACCCCTGAAACCATGAGCTAAGAAAAACATTTTCTCTTTTTTAGCTATTTATCTCAATATTTGGTCATAGAACTTCTGGAAAGCTGGAAAACACAATGATGTTCTGATATCTACTTTGGTCCTAAGATAGTCACTCATTTTCTCTGTGACCAAAATAAAGATACTTGCTACTTTTTAAGAATCAAAACATATGATCATAAAAAGAAAGCTTCTCCTTGTCATTACTTACTGTCTCCCTGGCAAAGCAGAGGTCCCAGTGTATAAGCAGCTTCCGAATGTGGTGAGCCTGTGTCTGTCACCACCATCTCGGTGACAGGCAAGCGCTCCTTTTGGGAAAGGACTATTGTACCACTTGTCCTAAAACACAATAACCAAAACTTAAAATTATTCTAGTTAATATAGAATACAGTTAACTATGATCTCTTGTTGCAATTTGAAATTAACATCACAGGACTTGATTGAACATTTACAAATATTTTTTGTATTTTTTGATAGCACAGATACTGTTGAGAGTCAAGGTCAAGATCTGCAAATGTTTTCTGTGAAGGGGCATACAATAAGTGATGGTGACTTTTCAGGACAAGTAGCCTGCAGGCTGTGCCACTGAAGTGTGAAAGTCAAAGGCATTAAGTGTGTGCATTCTCTGTTGCAATAAAAACTTGTGGACACTGAAATTTAAATTTCATGCAAGTTTTTGTGTCTCAAATATTCTTCCTTCCATTTTTCAATGACTTTAAAAGGTAATGAAAACTGCCAGGTGTGGTGGTGTACACTTTTAATTCTAGCACTGGGGAGGCAGAGACAGGCAGATCTCTGTGAGTTCAAGGCCAGCCTGGTCTACATAGCAAATTCCAGGCCAGCTGAGCTATAGGGAGACCCTGTCTCAAAAAGACCAAAAAACAAACAAACAAACAACAACAAAAAAAAAGTAATGAAAATTTCTTAGCTACCAAGCTGTCACAGGCCAGTGCACAGATCTGAGCCATAACAATTGGTTAGCAACTTCTGATCTATGTGCCAATTCATGACCTCAAAGAAAAAAAGGGGCATGAAAAAGAATGATAATTTTACAAGCGTAAGGTAATATTCTCAGGGTAATGAAGCATATTATTGCTTTTCTAAATTAGCCTCAGAATACTATTTAAACAATTGTTAATTAAAGAAGCCAGGTATGGTGGGTCACACCTTTAATCCCAGCACTTGTGAGGCAGAGGCAGGCCCATCTCTGTGAGATCAAGGCCAGTCTGGTCTAGAGAATTCCAGGCCAGCTGGGGCTACAGGAAGACCCTGTCTCAAAAGAAACAAAAAACAAAAACAAACAAAACAATTATTAATTATAAATATAAATATTAACACTAGATTTAGATATGTGTTTCACAGAATTTTATCATTAATTTTTAAGACTTTTTGAGGTGATAGTGTGCTTCTTTCCTTGATAACTTTGAAAGTTATAAAATCAAACCAACAGCTTAGAATCCAAAATAAATGCAAACTCTGTGTAAGTAATACACAGACTAACATGTGCGAAGTTGTTTCACACATGATGAACCCGTTCGGTGGACCAACACTTGGCATTTTCTTCCTACAGGTGCTGTGGCACTGAGGACACAAACGAAGGATGTCCTGTTTCACCTTAAGAGCACTGAGCCCACTGGACACTATGAATGCTAATTATTTTCAGCAGTAGCAGCGTCCCATATGTAAATGACTAAGAAAAGAAATCTACAACTCTGGGCCCAATTCAAAGAGGCCTGGAAGACAAGCTGGGAGACCCTGGCATCTTGGTCCCACCTGGGCCACTAATTTTTTTCCTGGCCAAAATGAAGGCATCTGTCTACTCTTTTGAAACCTGCTTGTATTAATTATACTATATTGCGTTATATATATTATATATTATATTTACTATATTATGGTATTCATAATGCAATATTAACTCCTTTGTCATGAAATTGAACTTTATGTAACATCATATTTCATCTAAGCTTACATTTTTAACTTGCTTGAACAAAAGTTACTTTTTTATACCAGTTTAAGTGATAATTCACTATGTATAAAGATCACAACTGCATTTTCTGTGGAGGAAATCATGTGGAAATCACCATTCATTCCGGTCAGTGTCACAGTGGCAGTGGTACTGAGAATCAAGGCAGTTCCCCGCTAATCCACAGGTGCACTTCTGAGGCAGAGCATCTCCCCAGTGAGTGTGGGTTTCATTAGTTCTTCCAGCCCACCAGCTCAGTGGTCTTCCATCTGAAAGATGAAGATGAGAAAGATGACATCTATGTCCCCTCAGCCACCACCACTCCAGTATCATTCTGTTTATTCCCAGGCTTAAAGTGTGTGTGTGTGTGTGTGTGTGTGTGTACGTATGTGTGTATATAAGTGTGCATTTATATATGTGTGGGTGAAAGAGAATAACAAAGAGAGAGTGACAGAGAAACAAAGCCAGAGAGTCTTGAGAAGTTATAGCATATCTCTGCCAACAAGAACAAGGTTTCTTTAAGAATAGTGACTGAACCCCCCACCATGTTTCAATATATAGGCTTCATTGATTCTAATTTGCTTTTCTTTTATTAGAAAATGAACTCTTATTTCCTTGTGCATTCTCTATAAAAGAATAGTAAAAGTTTAAGCCATCATTTAAAAAGTTAAGCCATCAAAAGAACCATCAAGACAAAAACAAGACTAATTTATGCACTGAAGAGGATTCTGTTTGAGATGATAAAATTCCCACTGAGACAGCTGAATGTTTATATAGTAACTCTAACCAACCTTAAAACACCATTTTTGTTGAGTACAGTTATCATATATTAAACATTTTGGAGTAGACAATTCTCCCTGTCAGTACTAAATATGTTTTCAGAACTATGTGATTTGCTTGCAAGGTATGGTCTGGTTATTTATTTGGAGGTTTAAGAATTGTCACTGATAGGTTCTCTTCACGCCTATGTAATATGCTACTGGGTCACTATCCCTCTCAGTAATGCAGATGCTCGGGCCATCTCTCAGCCTTGGCTGTGACTGAGTGACAGAGCCAGACACTGACTTGTTCTCTGGAGCCATGGATTAAGACAAAGAGTACTGCTGGAGGGCTGGAGAGATGGCTTAGCAGTTAAGAGCATTGGTTGCTCACGCAGGGGACCTGGATTCATTTCCCTGCACCCGCTTGGGGGCTAACAACCATCCAGAACTCCAGTTCTAGAGGATCTGATGCCCTCTTTGGGCCTTCACAGGCATTGCCTGCACAGCTGTGCTTACCTACACGCAGGCAAAACACTCATACACATTAAGTACAAATAAATTTTTAAAATTTTACAAAGAAGTGCTCCTGGGAGTGGGGAGGGTGTGCATTGAAGGCAGGATGACTAGAGAAGCAGATGGTAAGGGCCATTGCTCTGGAGCAAGGGCAGGCGTGGGAGACAGAAACTGTGGTGTTAAGAATGTGTTCATGAGGAGATAGGGAACTGGATTAACTCAGCAAACTCCC